TTCTTTCGACTCATTGGGATGGTTTGTCCCTGTAACCTCAACAGGGATTCCTTGAAATACAGCCAGCTCTCCTGGACTCCTTTCCCCTTCAAGTTAGTCCCCCAGGGGATCCTGGCCATCCGTTCCCTGAGGGAGTCGAAGTCTGCTTTCCTGAAGTCCAGGGTCCGTATCGTGCTGCTTACCTTTCTTCCCTGTGTCAGGATCCTGAACTCAACCAACTCATGGTCACTGCCTCCCAGATTCCCATCCACTTTTGCTTCCCCCTACTAATTCTTCCCGGTTTGTGAGCAGCAGGTCAAGAAAAGTGCCCCCCCTAGTTGGCTCCTCTAGCACTTGCGCCAGGAAATTGTCCCCTACGCTTTCCAAAAACTTCCTGGATTGTCTATGCACCGCTGTATTGCTCTCCCAGCAGATATCAGGATGATTAAAGTCACCCATGAGAATCAGGGCATGCGATCCAGTAGCTTCCGTGAGCTGCCGGAAGAAAGCCTCATCTACCTCATCCCCCTGGTCCGGTGGTCTATAGCAGACTCCCACCACTACATCACTCTTGTTGCACACACTTCTAAACTTAATCCAGAGACACTCAGGTTTTTCTGTAGTTTCGTACCGGAGCTCTGAGCAGTCATACTGCTCCCTTACATACAGTGCTACTCCCCCACCTTTTCTGCCCTGCCTGTCCTTCCTGAACAGTTTATAACCATCCATGACAGTACTCCAGTCATGTGAGTTATCCCACCAAGTCTCTGTTATTCCGATCACGTCATAGTTCTTTGACATCACCAGGACCTCCAGTTCTCCCTGCTTGTTTCCAAGGCTTTGTGCATTTGTATATAAGCACTTGAGATAACCTGTTGATCGCCCCTCATTCCCAGTATGAGGCAGGAGCCCTCCCCTCACAGACATTCCTGCCTGTGCTTCCTCCCGGTATCCCGCTTTCCCACTTACCTCAGGGCTTTGGTCTCCTTCCCCCGGTGAACCTAGTTTAAAGCCCTCCTCACTAGGTTAGCCAGCCTGCTCGCGAAGATGCTCTTCCCTCTCTTCGTTAAGTGGAGCCCGTCTCTGCCTAGCACTCCTTCTTGGAACACCATCCCATGGTCGAAGAATCCAAAGCCTTCTCTCCGACACCACCTGCGTAGCCATTCGTTGACTTCCACGAATGAGACCCCCTAGTGTAAAGTAATCCACTTTGGAAGTGAATAAATTAACTTGGAAAAAGGCTGTCTTATTCTGGAGTGAGTATCCACAGGTGGGTTTATACTGAAATGACTATTTCAGAATAATTATTCCTGAATAGCAGTCATGGTAAATTTCCAAGTGTAGACAAGCCCTTAGGAAAGACACAAAAAGTGAGTGTAAAAGGAAAGAGGGGAAGTGTAATAGTAATAATAAGTAGTATTTTGATAGACCGCCTATGGGTCTGGTTCAGGGCCCATTGAAGTCTGTGGAAGTCTTTCATCAACTTCAGTGGCCTGTATGTATAGCTTGAGAGACTTTTTTAAAAATAAATATCAGCAGTCCATCTCCGGCTATGTGCCTAGCTATTACCAATAGGCAAATTCCTTTAAGAATTGCAATAGAAGTTGGTCTTGAAGAGCGATATGAATGAGAAAAACGATTGTCTTACGGACCAATTCAGTAAGGCATTCCATGTGTAAGGGTTGAAAGAAAGCAGGGACATGCGTGTGAGAGAAGCAGACAAATGAACTGTCAAGGCTGATATGATGGAGCAAAGGAGGCAAGAGCAGATCAGTAGGGAGGGGCATGGAAGGATTCAGGGGGAGTGACATTTTGAATTGACTGGCTGGAGTGATTGGGTGTCATGGAAGTAGAGGGGATTGCTGTAATCAAGACAGGCTTAGGCAGGATGAAAAGGACTCGATCTTAGAGGTGATTGTAAGGAGATGTGGCAAGATGAAAAGAGAAAGGAGGAAGTATGAGGGTTTGGGAATGTGGGTATGGACTTACTTTTAGCCATGTTATATTTAAATTGGTCATGAGTCATCCAAAAGGAGATGCCATGACATGGAAAGAAATCTATTTTAGGGTATGTTTGAGGGACTGGCAATTAGAAGTAAAATATTTTCACTTGCAAACTGGGATAATTTGATGTGAAAATTAGTGAAATGCAATAAATACAGCACCTTGCAGTAGTATTTTTACAAATTCATTTTTCAGGATAGAACTGCACTTGAAAGTAGGTTTTGAACAGCTCCTCTTACATTCAAATAAAACTCAGTCACTAGGTTTAGAGCATTTGGTGTACCATTCAAATGTATATACATGCTACAGCATTTTCTGGGCATGTAATCTTGAAAATGGATTTAGAAATATGGTAGATTCTGTCTTGATAGTATGATGCTAATCTGAGCAGAACAAAAGTTTCATTGTACATATTTTGTTTTTATTCATTGTTACAGTCTATATTTACTGACCTAGTAAAATCAGATTCTGCTACCTCAATTTCTAGGTAATAATATGGTCAACATTTCATTCTGTTTACATTAATTCCTCTTTGCTAGTCCCTGCAGTGGCCACTATTAAAATATTACTTGTTAAAGCAGGAAAGTCACAGGTAGATTAATCCAAATCAAGCCAAAATGCTCAAGTGAGTCAGTTTGGTGCTGATAATTCTATCTGAAGACAGGAAGGAAGGAGAGTCATCTGTATTGTGAGTCTCCTTGTTTAAAAATTATCTGGGACTTAAGCAGTTCGATAAGCATTTTGTTCTTTTGCATGCATTCTCTGCTCCCACTCAGAGCATTTAAATATATATATAAGAGATACCCTATATATATATAAATTGTGCCAAAAAATACACATGTGGGTATAAATTTGTACCTGTTTTGCTTGTGGAAATTGGGTATGTCTTTTTGAAAACCTCTCTCTACATTGAAGAGTTGATTTTAATAGCATTTATTATACATTCCAAGTTTAATTAAAACTCTCTTCAAGGACTTCTTAAAGGACTTTGAAAGAACATTGGTTTGCTGCACAAAATATACACACCCCAGTTCAGCAAGGTACTTAAGCAGATGCCTAACTATAAGCACATGAAGCGCAGTCAAGTCAGGTGCTGCACTAAAGAGTCTTAATGGGTAGGGCCCTGATTCAGCAAAGCACTTAAGCACATGCTCATTGCAGGGGAGATTAGAATGGAAGATTTTTCCCCATATTAGAAAATGTATAGCTCAGTAAACAAAAAAGTAGAAAAAATGATGTTTCTGATGAATGATTATTTGAAAAAAATAATGAATACATATGTATTATATCGCTGAGCGTACTTTTAGGAAAGGACATCTCCAAACTGCCAATAATATCAGCTGCATGAGAAAACACTCAGATATATGTTTTGGAGTTACTTTAAATGGAAAAATATTGGCAGGCGGCATTGAATGCCATATTAGGCTCCTAAAAGTGCCCTGGCCAATGTTTCCTCAGATTTGTACTGTACTCTTGTAGCAACAGACATATCAAGAGATGAATATTAAGACAAATTTGTTAATGCTGCAGTTTGGGCAGCTAACAAAACAAGATCACTTTTTAAACTGGAAGTCTGAACACCGGCCAACTAATAATTATTGGATGGTTCTGTTTACAAATCTGTTATAAATGGGAGGAAGAAGACTAGTGCTCACAAAATTATAAATAACCTGAATACTTCGGAAAAGTAGTGGAATATTTTTCAGGCTTTTCTCGAAAATCAGGTCTGCTGACAACTGATATGAAAAAGAAATGGAAAAAAGGCATTAAATCATGCATTTCTCAAAAGAATTCCAGCCACCCATTAAACTCTGTTCTAAGATTATCAAGTGGAATTGAACTGAACCCAGATTTCTAAATTGTACCATAGGGTAGTCACACTAAAAAACACCAACAACTTTGATTTAAAGTGTTCATTGGAATGCTGTTTGTTTTGTTTCTCTTGTACAGAATTATTAGCTTTCTTATCTGTCTAGTGCTTGTACTGTGCTCATCATAGTGCTATCAGAACACTTTACAAGTTACAAAACTAAACATTCAAAATATCTTTGCATCTTTTTTCCCTTCATTTCTAGATGTAGGTTACTCATGTTTCTTATATTTGTATTTGATATATTTTAGCCTTCTAATAAAAAATACTTTTTTGAAAAATACTTTGAGTTCGTGTCAGAGTTTGACCTTTAATGTTTTCGCCTTCAAATGTATTAAAGTAACTATGTTACTAGCTTAAACACAATTAATGGAACCACCATGGCTTAGAAGTAGATAGGGCTGGACACTTCCATTCTGCTCCTAGTGCTGCCACTGATTAGCATTTCAAAAATTACTGTGCTATTGAGCAAGTCCCTTGACCTGTCTGTGCCTCCTTTTCCCCATCTGTGAAATGGGAATATTTAATTTGCTGTTGTAAAGCTCTTTGAAATCCATGAATGAAAAGTGCTCTGTAAGAACTAAGTATTAGTAGTAGAAGTAATGGCTATCCAATAATTTAATTCTGTCTAGTTTTTACAAGACAACTAAAAAACAATCCCTTTTGTAGGGAAAGTAAGGAAGCTGAAATTGTTTAAAGATGATAGAACAAGAATGAAAGCTAAGAAAAGTAACCCATTTCTAGCATGTCAGATTCTGAGTATTGTGATGAAAGTTAGTATTGTGTAGGTGAAACACACAGTGCTCTGTTGTTGCTTGTTGTCATATCTACCACTGATCTGTATATTGGGCAAGTTTGTGGCCCATTTCATAGATATGCATAGGAGCTAACCAGAATAGAGGCCTCTGTGCTTAGAAGAGCATAGGTGCTGCTACTGATGTGTTCCCTCCTGCTACAAGTTGGCAAAGAGAGCAGGCAGTCTGTGCTCCTCTCAGTGCAACTAGGAAATCCCCCAGAGCCAATATGTATATGCACAATCAGTAGCAGAGGGCTCTGGCTGTTGAAAGCTAGCTATTTATGATTTTCTGTGAACTGCTTGAGATTTTGGGGTATCACTGACTAACCTACACCTACTACTTTTTCATAGGTCTTGATGGCTCTACATGAGATGTTCCCAGCAGTGCATGCAGCAGAAATGGCCATCCAGAGAAATCCACATTCTTGGGAGGCATGGCAGACTTTGGGACGTGCCCAGCTTGGATTAGGAGAAATAGGACTGGTAAGAAAACAGCCTTATCAAAGAGTGGAACATGCAGATCATGAATTAGGAACCACGTGTGATAGAGTAAAAGTACCAGAATGCCAAAGTAATTTAATTTCCTTTATAATACTCGAATGTAAACAAGGCAAAAGATTATTGTTCCTTTTATTTCCAGTAATCTTAACAAACATTTCCTGTATAACGTTATTGTTGGGTTTGTGAAAGACCCGGCCAGATCACAGCCATTCACCTTATTCACATGAGGGATTTAACCAATAGTGTTGTTACACATATCTAACTACACAAGTGCAGGTGCCTATTGCCTAGCTAGATTCAGTGCAGTTTACCATGGTTTGAAATCCATGTACCTGTTCAAGTCATGGTCTACATTGGCGCAGCTTGTCTGTAATAGGGGTTTGTACTGTTGCAGCTACATCAGTGTCTAAAACACTCATCTAAACAAGACCTTACTCTTTTCCTCAAGGAGAAGTTTATGAATTTAGCAAATCTATATGAAAGCAAGGTTGAGTTGTCTACTCCATTAGAATACTTAATTTTGGGGATCAAATGTTATAGCCCTCTATTATACCTAGTTTGGCACTGATAAGTTAATTTTACATTGTGCCTAAGAAATATAGGTACATGTGCCCAGAGATAAGTGTGATGGATGCTTAGGTGTCATGACTGGGACATTGGTGGTCAGACCTAGTGGTTAGAGCAGGAGTTGGGAGTCCAGCCAAATCAGGTACAAGGAGGTCAGAGTTCAAGACAAGCCAGTGGGCAGATGGAAAATCTGTCATTAGGAGGCAGGTAAGGTGAGGTCACTGGTAGGCCAAAGTCCAAGGAAGGTCAGAGGGCAAACTGAGAGTCATGAGAGTCAGGTGTCAGGAGGCAGGCAGGGTCAGGTTACCAGGAGATCTGGATCGGGCATCAGGTTACAGACAACAATTAAATAGCGAAGTCAAGGACAAACCTGGATCGGAAGCTAGAGTCTAGGGCAGGGGTAGGCAACCTATGGCACTCGTGCCAAAGACGGCACGCGAGCTGATTATCAGTGGCACTCACACTGCCCAGGTCCTGGCCACCGGTCTGGGGGGCTCTGCATTTTAATTTAATTTTAAATGAAGCTTCTTAAACATTTTTAAAACCTTATTTACTTTACATACAACAATAGTTTTGTTATATATTATAGACTTATAGAAAGAGACCTTCTAAAAACATTAAAATGTATTATTGGCACGCGAAACCTTCAATTAGAGTGAATAAATGAAGACTTGGCACACCACTTCTGAAAAGTTGCCGACCCCTGGTCTAGGGTCTGTTGCAAGCAGAAACAGGCAGGTAGTCTGTGGTGTTCCTCAGACAGCTCCCTTCCATGCTTCCTGGTTTAAGTATTGGCACCAGCCAATCAATGGGCTGTGAGGCGCTGCCACTCTGGTCCTGCTGCGTGGTACTTTCTACCAAGCCCAGACCTACAGGGTCCTCCTGTAGGAGCCCAGTCTAAGCCTCCTGTACTGATGTGGGGGCATCAGGCACCCAAAACCCTCATAGTCTCTGGTTCCAGCCCTGCTGGTTCATACATTGTGTAAAATAAAATATACAGAGATCTGGAATCGCATTGAGCTGCAAGTTAATGTTGTTGAAATTTTTTTTAAATGGTTTAAAATTCTTTAACAAAATAAATGAATAAATACAGGTTGGACCCTTTAGCAGATCCTCTTTTTGCAAAAGTGTACACTAAAATACCCTATTTTTTAAAAATACACTTTTACTGGGCAATTACATTGTTCTTGTACATACTGTACATATATGTGTGTGTGTGTATTATTTTTTTTAACTGATAAATGAATAGGTACACAACAGTTATAGAATCATAGAATATCAGGGTTGGAAGGGACCCCAGAAGGTCATCTAGTCCAACCCCCTGCTTGAAGCAGGACCAATTCCCAGTTAAATCATCCCAGCCAGGGCTTTGTCAAGCCTGACCTTAAAAACCTCTAAGGAAGGAGATTCTACCACCTCCCTAGGTAACGCATTCCAGTGTTTCACCACCCTCTTAGTGAAAAAGTTTTTCCTAATATCCAATCTAAACCTCCCCCACTGCAACTTGAGACCATAACTCCTCGTTCTGTCATCTGCTACCATTGAGAACAGTCTAGAGCCATCCTCTTTGGAACCCCCTTTCAGGTAGTTGAAAGCAGCTATCAAATCCCCCCTCATTCTTCTCTTCTGCAGGCTAAACAATCCCAGCTCCCTCAGCCTCTCCTCATAAGTCATGTGTTCCAGACCCCTAATCATTTTTGTTGCCCTTTGCTGGACTCTCTCCAATTTATCCACATCCTTCTTGTAGTGTGGGGCCCAAAACTGGACACAGTACTCCAGATGAGGCCTCACCAATGTCGAATAGAGGGGAACGATCACGTCCCTCGATCTGCTCGCTATGCCCCTACTTATACATCCCAAAATGCCATTGGCCTTCTTGGCAACAAGGGCACACTGCTGACTCATATCCAGCTTCTCGTCCACTGTCACCCCTAGGTCCTTTTCCGCAGAACTGCTGCCTAGCCATTCGGTCCCTAGTCTGTAGCTGTGCATTGGGTTCTTCCGTCCTAAGTGCAGGACCCTGCACTTATCCTTATTGAACCTCATCAGATTTCTTTTGGCCCAATCCTCCAATTTGTCTAGGTCCTTCTGTATCCTATCCCTCCCCTCCAGCGTATCTACCACTCCTCCCAGTTTAGTATCATCCGCAAATTTGCTGAGAGTGCAATCCACACCATCCTCCAGATCATTTATGAAGATATTGAACAAAACCGGCCCCAGGACCGACCCTTGGGGCACTCCACTTGATACCGGCTGCCAACTAGACATGGAGCCATTGATCACTACCCGTTGAGCCCGACAATCTAGCCAGCTTTCTACCCACCTTATAGTGCACCTTATACCCAACTGCTCCTCAACTTACCTTTCCTTGGTAGTGTTTCAGAAGAAGTAGATCTTGTGAGGGAGGAGTCGGTGATGGTCTTCTGGACTAGTTCAGGGGAGTCATGCCATGCATAACAGTCAGTATATAAGAAAGCATGGAGATGTTTATGACAGAAGTAAACAAGTGGATGGTTAAGGCTAATGTAGCAAAGTGCAGGAGCTCTGATCATTGTGTCACAGAATTATAAAGATAAAAAAATAGTTTCCCAGGAAAAGCTCACATCAACGCATAGACTAATGAACTGGAACTACAAATAAAAGGGTGGCTATAATTAATAATATCTATCTAAATATCATTCAAACCAGCTATCTTATAATAAAGAGCAATATGGGTGAGACCCCAGTGTTTGTGATGATTAAATGTATGTGACATTCATATCTGTGTACACAGTTTTCCTGCTGTGTTAATTTGAAAGCACAACCAAGCAGAACTGTTGATGAAAGCACATGTAGTGAAGGCAAAAGGCCATCAGTAAAATGATTCATAATGGATTCTGAAATAAAAAGATATTTGCTTTATTTTATTTGATCTTTTGTAATACATGGAGTTGAGCAGCTGTGTGATGATCCAAGAATATTACAATTACAGGGAATTCAGAGTCCTGTTAAAAAGAGAATGATTAAAGATGTAATGTTTAGGCTGACATTTCTTTGGCCATTTATGAGAAATTAATATGAACTGTTTTCTTTTTTTGTTTGTTTTGTGGCTGGATCACTCAGAGTTTTTAAATTTTTTTTATAAATAGAAGCGTCAGTGAGAACTAGTGCCTTTACTGTATTTGAAAAAAATTGATATATAAATAACATTTGAAAGCTGTATACTACATATGTACAGTGTCTATTTTCTATTGTCTTGATATCACAAGATGAGGATGTTTTACATACAAACTCATGCATATCTAAAGTGTGGCGCACTGAATCACCAGTGAAATTCTATGGCACACACCAGCCTCTTGTGCCCCTACACCAAAGTAAGTGGAACACTGCTATTTCATCCCCCCCAAGGACACTGATTTTCTGATCACCCACCCTCTGCCAAATTCCCTGGTAATCAATGCTGCCAGTGCACGTGGCCATCAGCAGCACTTCAAATCAACACCACCAGATCACAGTGCCAAGAAACTAGACTTGCTGAGTAGAAAAGTTTATTCATCGGTGGGGTTGCAATTTTGTATTGCCAGTTACCAAGCCATTTTGGACAAATATGATTTTCTGTTCTGTTCCCATCTGGTGGACTTCCAGGACTCTCTTCCTCCTGACCGACAGCAGGACTTCCAACGCATGCTAGATGAAGACAAATTGGTGACCCAAGTTGCACTCCAGGCAGCAGTGGATGCTGTAGACACTGCCTCTCACTCCTTAGTGTCCACGGTTGTCCTCCGTCACGACTCGTGGCTCCAGTCTAAGGGTCTTCCAAAGGAGGTTCAGATGATGCTGAAAGACCTTCCCTTTGACAACAATAAATTGTTTAGCGACAAAATGGACAAATCTTTTCACTCCCTTAAGGAGTCCCGTGCCACCCTTTGCTCCCTGGGTATATATACTCCAGCTCCCACCTGCTGACAACATTTCCACCCTTCTGTCCTCGCACCGCCTATCAGCCATACCCCCGATGACCTTTGAAACTCCTCAGCATCAACCTCACTCTCAACAGCCCTGGCACTCTCCCTCAGCTGCCTCTGCCACTTCAACTTCCCACCGATGACCCAAACAATCGTTTTGACACTTGTATCAAGACCCGCGAACTGTCCATAACCCTTCTGGACACACACCCCGTTGTATTCAGGGATCGTCAGGCACTCTTTGCCTACACTTGGAGTTCCATCACCTCCAATCACTGGGTGCTGGACATCATCCATTAGGGATACCTGATGAAATTCCTTTCCTTCCCTTGGTGCCACCTGCCCGGGGGACGCCCCCCAGACCTCTCCCAACTCCATGTTCTCCACAGTGAAGCCACCACCCTCCTCTGTAAGGGCTCCATAGAACCTGTGCCACATTGCCACCGTTTCTTCTATTCCCCCTATTTCCTC